CGTGTGCATCTCGAGCTAAGGAGTACACATGCGCGTGCATGCGTGCGTGCGTGTGCGGGATTGTGTGTATGTGTGTGTGTGTGTGTGTGTCCGTGCGTGTGCGTGTGTGTGTGTGTGTGTGTGTGCGCGCGTGACCACTGAGAGTGGTGGAGGGAGAGCTAACTCCAATCATGAATGACATATACACTTTCATTACTGCCTACACAGACACAATGTACTACTATCATGAATGTCTGTGGTGGCCAAGGAATGTCACAGTGCGCATATGTAGATGTTGACACTACACTGTCAGTACTGTACATGTATATGCTATGTTGTAATCACTAGCTTACCTGTGAAGTCTAGGTGTGTGAAAGCACAGAACAGCGGGTAGGCAAGGAGCAGGCCGAGCAGGAATGTTGACACAAACAGCTCTGTTGTACACAGGTGTACATGTAGAAACAGACATGAGGGCATCCACCGACGGGGCCACACGCACACACACACGTGCGCACACGCACACACACATGCGCACACAACACACACGCGCGCACGGGCATACACACACACACACATGCACACAAACACGCAGATATGCAAACATACACACACATACACATACTTGAAGGACATACATACACATACATACATGCACACATACACACACATACACACACTGGTCTGATGATCGGTTAAAACCGTGAAACTCAGAGTTACAGAAGAAACGCTTTTCATCCCTCTCAAGTGTGTGTACACACACTCATTATGTCAGAACACACTTTCAATTGAAGAGCTGAGATGCAAAACCCGCCAGCACCAAATTTCAGAAAACTAGATTTTCAGCTCCGTGTAATCAAACATTCTCCGGGCACCACCAGGCAAAATTTCACGGTCAAAATCTGACCAGAACCGGCTGAAAACTGGAACTAAAATATCAAGAGTGCATAAACAAGAGTATGCAACTGTGGTTATGGGTCCGTGCGCGGCTCGCTGCCTTCATTACGTACTTGCTTCCATCACGCTCTGAAAGCATGCACTCAAATCCACCATTTCTCGTACAAGCACGTCCGTGTTTTGCTCGATTCGTTGGAGTACCTACGCGATCTCTAAATTTAGGCACGTGAACTCCAGTGCCGTGCGGAAGTTCATTTCAGACCAGAGGGAAAGTGCGGTGTTCGCTTTTCCGCAGTGTGCGGACTGCAGCTGAATGATGCAGGTCTGCTTCAGTAATCGGGGTGTGATTCGGACGCAAACAGAATCCGGACTTTTTAACGTCTTGGGGTCAAATTGACAATAGTCAAACAAGAGTTTACAAACAGTCTCATTGCTACTCACGCAGAAGATACAGGCGATGTCCAAAGAAAACGAGGACCAGTCCAACCAGGCCGAATAGAGTCAATACAACCTTGCCAAACACAGAACCTACGTACCATGCCACACGCATACACACACATGCACACACATGCATACACGCACGCACACATACATACACACACACACACACACACACACACACACACACACACATCCACACATCCACACCCACAAACACAAACACATCCACCAATATAAACACACATGCACATACACACACGGAAAATAAGGCAACCAGGCTCAAATTTACTAATAAGTAACAACCTAAGCATAAAAAGTGAAACTCGACTCCTAACCCATGATAAGCCAATACACAACACAGTCCAAACTGTATAGCACTGCACCATCACGCTGTGCCACATATACATATGACCAAGAGTATTGAAAACAGTCTGCAGGCAATTCAACGCGAGCGCGCGAGCGCAAGAGAGAGAGAGCGAGAGAGAGAGAGAGAGAGAGAGAGAGAGAGAGAGAGAGAGAGAGAGAGAGAGAGAGAGAGAGAGAGAGAGAGAGAGAGAGAGAGAGAGAGAGAGAGAGACAGAGAGAGACAGAGAGAGAGAAAGAGACACAGAGAGAGAGACACACACACACACAAACACACAGACAGAGACAGGCAGACAGAGACAGAGAGAGAGGCACACACACACACACACACACACACACACACACACACACACACACACACACACACACACACACACACACACACACACACACACACACACAAACACACAGACAGAGAAATCACTCACCTATGGAGTCACAGCCCAGCACACGTCCGCCGATCTCACAGCCATACGACACAGATGGTGGGTAAACAGCCCGAGTGCCATACACGTGATCAACAACAATGATGCTGTACACTGTGCCAGTACCACGGCTAGTTGGCAAGGTAACGCGGCGCAGGTCAACATATGTTGTCGGGAAGAGAGCAACCTGATGACGAGGAAGAGAGATTTTGAAAAAGCAGCACAAAACACCAACATGATTACATCGGAAGAACGCAGGGACTTGAGACGCAGCCTATCATCGTTCTAAAATGTTCAAACTCAGCCGTTTTGTTCTTATTCCGTGATCATGGAGGGAAATATACGATGCCACGAGGAAAACAATCATATAGAAAACAATGGATTGAGATTGAGTAGAAAACAACATATGCATGTACTGTGAAGCGATAAACTTTCGCGGCGCCCAAAGTTTGCGTTTTCATGAATTGGGCTGGTTCACGATGAGAATCTTCGGCGATTTTATCTCTTCAGTTGGATCTGTTACTGTCCACAATCAATGTACGGAGCAGTTTGCGGCGATTTATATTCGCGGATGGGTGATGGTCGCGAAAATAGCGAAATTTAATGTCTCGTGAAAGTTTCTCACTTGACAGTACGTGTAACATGTTATATTACTCAATCTCCGGACAGCTAGCCGTTTCGATCTTCTTAGATCTCATCAGCGGAGTGCGGACCTTGTGACCGAACCTATCGCAATGAAGTCCATTGAACGACAAAGAATTTCTAAACCAGCTCAAAGCATTAAAGTCGGAGTGTTCTAACAGCAAAAAAAACACAGCGAGCGTTGCACGTGTACATTCAAAAATCTGAATTTTCTGTCCCGGTCATCAGTGAAGTTTGTGGAACTAAGGGTAGATAGGGAAAGAATTGAGGGTACACAGGGAAACAACTTAGGGTGGACAGGGAAAGAACTGAGGGTACACAGGTCTGTTCAGCATACCGTATTATCTCTAATATAAGCACGGTCCTTTATTTTTTCAATGTACCTCCGCCCCGTGCTATTAATGGAGACGTTCCTTTATTGGAGACTGTTCCATTATTATTTCAACCTCATTTCAGAGGCATGTTGCAATGCCAAATTCATGTATGACACACACATTTCAGGGTTTTTTCGCCGGTACAGATAATGAATTTAGACAGTGTGCTTATAATGGAGACTGAGCACTTTATTTTTTGAATGCCGCCCCAAGGTGTTCTATTATTGGAGACGTGCTATTATTGGAGACTGTGCTTATATTAGAGATAATACGGTACATGTACACTAGGACCTGTATGGGTGGTCTGTTCAGCATACATGTACACTAGGACCTGTATGGGTGGTCTGTTCAGCATACATTACATGTACACTCGGACCTGTACGGGTCTGTTCAGCATACACTTTGACTAGGACCTGTATGGGTAGTGAGTTCAGCATTAGGACACTAGGACTTACAAACTGCCCGCCCTGTGTGCTCTCCGGCCAGCCTCCAGTACTACTCAGAATCTCTTGCCATGCAGCACTCCGCAACTCAGTTTCCTGATAACAGAAACGGCTATACGACTGAATCAGCATCTGCTGGAAGTACTAGAGTGTATAACTGGGAGCTGTGTTACTGGTGTGCTCCACAAAGTCAGACGGAGAGCGCATGTGCTGGGGAGTTTGCAAGTCCTCTTCTAGCCTTCCCCCCCCCCCCCCCCCCCTACAAAGTTTTGTTTCCACAAAATATCAATATGTGCGGACTGCGGAGGGCCCCCTACCAAACAGCTACATAGCAGCCATGCAAGGGCAGTGCCTTCGCAGCAGCAGCCTACCTTGGTTCCATGCCGCTCCACAGAACTTGGCGTGCTCATCTTAATCAAGCCATCGAACATTGCCGATTCGCTGAAGTCGATAAAGGCCAGCTCGTAGCGGTACAGGTAGTAGCGCAGACGACTATCAAGAGGGGTCAAGCGCTCGTAGCACGGCGTAGTTGGTGACATGTAGTAGCCTATGTTGGCAGGGTGAAACACAATGCTAGTGGAGTAGCGGCTGTACGTGATGTTCAAGTTAGGATCAATGTCCAGCGAACAGGTCAGGCAACACCCACCGGGAATCGGAACTGCCAGCAGAACAACAAGCAGAAAGCACCACCAGCAGCAGCAGCGGTAGCAGCACCACCACCAGCAGCAGCAACACCAACAACAACAAAAGCGAAAACAACCTGGGCTTGTTACAATCCAGGATAAGTGCATACATGTACATGCATGGCCGAAGTGGCACCAACCTCTTCTTTGCATACATGTACGTCAGAACAAGGCAAGAGCCCATAAAGAAGGAGCACATGTGCAATGGTTCGTGTCGCACAGAACTCCAAACATGACATCATTCCAGAGTGACGAGGTAGTAACAAGTTGTAGACTGTAGGACATTGCAGGTGCAGGTGTATGTCTGGTACCTCTACTTGTACCAAGAGTACATGAAACTCAACTTCTCTACTTCTATTTCATACATCTGCTTCGTTTATTCCTTACTCTTTTCTTTCTTTCTTTTTCTTTTCTTTCTCTTGTCATGTAATCACTGTCACTCACATACAAATACCGTCATAAAATATAAAACACAAGTTTTTCTCATCTTTTTTCTATTTCTTGTTTTTCATTAGCTTTAGCATGTTCATTCACATTCTTCATCATTTGTAGGAACTAGACCTGGTCTAGTGAGAAGGCATTCTACTGCCTGTAATTCTGGTGAAGTAAAATAAAGTAACAACAACAACAAACCCAGAGTGTACAGCTTGTTTCTACATGGGTTTCGGTCACAGCGAAATTCCGGGATTGCGTCATATTCGGTGCAGATACGCGGCAGGAAGTGTAGTGGCGCAGTGCGTACAACTGAGCAGTAGT